CAGAACAGCTCTGCAGCATATGGCTGTGCTGTTTGTGATGTGTGGGTGARTTTTCTGCCTCTCAAACTCCAGACAAAGCAAGACACTGGTGTTCACCTGCCAGGAGCTATCCTGCTGCCTTCCCGGTGTCTGGTGTACAGGAATTGGCGTGCAAAGAGCCATTTTGTGCACAGGGAATGGGWGGAACCCAGGCAGGAGTTGGGGTCTCCTGCGGTGTGTGGGAAGGTTTTATAAAAGCAATAGCAGCATTTGATTTTGTGGGGTTGCCATTCAGCAGTGTGTGTGTCAGGAAATTAATTAATTATAATAACAACACTGAAAAAAAAACCAGTATCATCTGTGTGCCAGCACAGCCTCTCCTTGACGTGCTTGGCTGCAGTGCTGGACATGCAGGGGGGTGAAATGAACAGGAAAAATGAGAAGGGTTTTCAGTGCTGCTTCAAAAGCCAAAATCACACTGCCCTGTGTATTTTGGGTGAAGATCTTTGGTGGCAGAACAGTGGGAATTTGTCCTTGGAAATGAGAATGTGTCATGTGCTCCATCACCTTGAAGTGCCCATGGCCAGCTGCAGTCACACCTGGGCTGGGACAATGGCAGCCGCCACGTGAAGCTTCCTGCTGCTTTCTCTGCTTTCCAAAAAGCTATTCTGGGGGCTGGGTCAGGGTGTTCACTCTTGAAAGCCCTTCTAGCAGGTTAATAAACTTGTYAATTAGCAAGCAGTTAGCTGGAGTTGATGTGAGCCTCTATTATTATGACTTTTACTGTTCATCACCTATTTGGATAGCCATTGTATTTCCAGTGTTCTTCCTCATGRAAGAAATGGTTGGATTATTAAAAAATTACAGACTTTACTAGTTTTTAATGACAGTCTTTTCAAATCTCAGCTGTTGCTGAGATTACTCTCMTAGATAACTCTGGACTGACATGAGAAAGAAAATTTCAGCTTATAGAACAATGTTACTCTTCGACAGAATAAAATACTGGGAAATGCAAATATTCCTTTTAATAGTTCCCACCAAATAAATTATTCTCAGCTGCCTCAGGTGACATGGAGTGAATGGRATGAACCTGTCTGCCCTGCTGCTGTTTCCCAGCTGATTTTGGAAAGGTGGATGCGCAAAGGTGCCCCAGGGGGCTGAGGCAGGACAGCAGCCTGAGCTGGGGTTATTTTCTCCACATTTCCTTGTAACATGCACCTGATGGAAAAGTCTCCTAGAAGGAAGGGCAGAATCCTGGCAGATGTAGGGGAACAGATTGCTATTTCAGACCGGAGGAGGGATGGGGAATGAAGTCCTGGTTCTGGAAGGGTGCAGGGTTCAGAGCAGTGAGCATCCCAGGCAGGCTCCTGCCATCAGCCACACCACRAACTTCAGAAAGGTCCTTCCAGCTGTGCTCCTGCAGCAATTTCCTCCAGTCTGTGTGAGACAACAGTCTCAGGTTTGGAGACTCTTGCAGGAAGAAGCTGTCAGACAGTGATGGTTTCATCATTCTGACCCACTCACAGGTTCAAAATGGAAGAGCAGCAGAATAACCAAGGGTGGGGAGATGTCCCGTGCTCACCACAGCTCCCWGCACATCGTGAAAGCACAGCATAACCTGTTAGAGCAAAAGTAATTAATGGCCTCGTGTTCTGTTCTCCCAGGTTGTTTAAAAACCAATATTGAGAAAATTGACTGCTGAGTTTGGGAGGCTGGTTGGGGATTGCAAGAGAAAATGAAACAAAAAAAACAAAACAAAACTGTGGCTTTCTGTGATGACCAGTTATTGATTTTTTTTTTTTTTTTATTTGTACATGTGAGCAAGGTTGTAAAATGGAAAGATTAAAAGGAATGGTCATTTCTGTTTGCTGGTGGGCAGGGAAATGCTGTTCCAAGGAGTGGTTTGTGATGGCAAACATGATGGGGTTTGTAGAGGAGGGAGAGGCCCAGTCACACCTGCTGGGGTCTGGTGCTCCCTTAGGAGCTGGGTTTCTCCTGCTCTGTTGGGGGATGAGATGTCGAGGGTTTGGGTGAGATTTGGCTCTGCTTTTACCGGCTGGCTCCTCTGCTCTCACAAGAACTTTGTAGAGGAATTCATAGGTGGTTGCGTGTCCTTGAGCACCTGGGGAGGAGAGTTGGAAGGAGCTTGGCCTGGGAAGGGAAAGTTTCCAAGCTTCTGTGAGCACTGGGATGTTGCAGCAATGCTCAGAGACTGAAATGGCCAGGAGCAGCATTTGTCAGTTCAGTCATTGTCTTGTGTCGGTGCTGAAGCAGCTGTGCTCTGTTTATAATCCTAAATCATCCTTTGAAGAACATCAGCTACAGATGTGGAAATTAATCTTCACAGGGCTGGGGATCTGTGAGACTGTGAACGGGAGAAGTGATTAATTCTCCTCCAAATGATTGAAATATATTCCTTCTGATGTCTTWAAGTGTTAAAAATTAGTAAATGAATTCTAGCGTGAATGCAGACTTGTGTTGGAGGCTGATTGCAAAATCTAGCTACAAAGTTTAAAAAATAATTAAAACTCCAATCAAACTAACAGAAAAAAAAAGTCCTTGAGACCTTAAACATTTTCTGGTATATTGCAGAGGAGTAAATGGCTGCCAGTGCTGTTTTGGCAGGTGATTGAAGACACAAAATGCCACATATGAATCTGAAGTTGCGTCAACAGATTTACCCCCTCGCTTTGGGTAAAATCAGGATTAGTCAGAGGCTGTAAAGCCTGAGYCTCATCATCAGGCTGACATTAGTCAGTGAGATCTGGAGGAACCCAAACACAGAGTCAAACTATTCCTGAATTTTAAAATTTGGGGCAGAGCCCAGACCTCRGGTTTCCTGTGTGGGACAAAGATCCCATCTGAGGAGCGGCTGAAATCCAGCCTGGAGTGTGGGACAGCAGTGACGGGGTGGTACCTCAGTGCCAGCCTGCAGCTGGACTCTGTCACCACCTGTGTCACCTCCTGCACCCCTGGGACAGGGGAAGGACCTCCTGCCACACCTCTGACCCTCCCTGTTTACTCCAAGGGGACCGAGCTGCTGCTTCTCTGCTGCGCTTGGAACAGAAACCCGAAGCAGTTGAACTCCTGACCCCAGTCCTGGCCATGGCTGAGAACAAACCTTAACAAGACCACAGGGAGAACTTCCCTCTACTGTTCAGGCTTTTTTGGAGCCTAGGAAGGTCAGAGTAGGAGAGAGTCATGGAGCCTCGTGGGCAGAATCATTTTGGAAGAGCCAGGAGCGAGCTCTGTTCAAAAGGCTTTGTTGAGCAGAGCTGAGTCCAGAGAGGTTCTTTCACATCCTTTCAAATTTCAGTGGTTAATTCTCTGAAGAAAGAGAGATCTGTGTGGAAAAAAAAAAGAGTGGTGGGAATGGAATCTGGGACACTCTCCTACTAATTTCCTCCATTTCCTTCTTTTGCTTCCACTGGAAAAAATCGGGTCTGCCAAGGCAGGAGGCAACAGTTCTGCCATGGGAGCAGYTCCCCTGCCCGGTGGGACACTCATGCCCTGCCCTCACAGCCAGCTGCCCCAGCCCTGGGGACTCTGTGCAGCAGCTCGGGTGGGTTTTGTGTGCTTTTCCTATCTCGTTGTGGCCCATCAATGTTTGCTGTGACATTCTCCATCTTTCTCTGGAATTGTTCCCCTTCCCCAGAGGTTTGAAGGTGACCCTGTGAGTTCCTGTGCCCTGGGAGGTGTTAGCAGGGCACATCCCACGCTGGGGAGGTGCCTGGTGCCTGGGTTGTGTTGTATTTCCAAAAAGCTCAGGTATTTGCAGGAGTTACCATCCTTGATCAGAAAACCCAACTCCTCCTGGCCRTGCACTGCTGACAGTGCTGGCTGCAGGAATCAGAACAGCCTGACCTTGTCCTTTATTCCAAAAGATTAGGAATTCACTCCTTCCTCAACAAAGCCTGCCTTCCTTTTTCTTAACCACTCTGTTTGATCTCGTAAGGAAGTGACCTCACAGGGTTCAGTCGAAGCCTCGGGGATGCAGAATAATCAAAATCAATCTTCTGGGACCTCTGTCAAGACAGCAAGAGAAGGATGGGGGGGTAAAAAGTGCATTTGTGTGCACAAGCACACACACACATCCTCTGTTAACTGTCAGGTTGGATGCTCACCAGTTAAATGAGGATTTTCAATTTAGTGGCTCCTTCTCCCACAGGCGCTCACTCAAAGARCTGGGAGATATTGATTTATTTTTTATGATTTCCTAGAAGAATGCTGTGTCCTAAGAAATTTGATTAGGTGGATTTATCATGGAGGACTTGCCGTGCTGAGCCTTGTTTAACGTTTCCTGGCACAAACACCAGGAACCCAGGGACTGTAGTGTGCAGTGCTTAAAGGTTTTCCAAGTTTATTTTTCACCCCGCGTGTGGTTTTGCAGCTCCTCTTTGCTTTAGTGAAACATTTAGTGAAAAATTATTTGGAATGCAGAACATCTTTGTGCTGTAAGGCTTTTTTTTGTTTGTTTGTTTTTGTTTTCTTTCTACGCTTTGAACAAATGACAGCAATTGAACTGTAATAGCACAGTTCCCAATATCGGTGAAGCTTGGGCTCTTTCACATTTTCAAACAGCGCGTTTTGCAATCTGTCTGTACTTGCTGGGCTTGAAGAAAGCTTTGTGTCCATGTCCATTGCATCCTCCCTCCTCACGCAGAGCACTGTGCTGTAATTCCATTACCACAGAACAGCCTGACTGGTGCAGAGTAAGGTGCGAGCCTAAAGCTCCATTCCCGCAGGAATTCCAACCCTCAGGGCGCAGCTTTTCACCAGGCAGACTCCGAGCCTTTAATTGGCGTTCCATCCCAACCATGGCCCACCCATGGCTCTCCATCGCGGCAGCCGCTCCCGTCACTGTGCTGTGTGGCACTGTCCCCTCCATCCCCAGCGCAATGCCAGCCCTGCCTCCACTCCATTCACCRCTCCCGTGAGTCCCCACCATTCCTGCCTCCCCCTCCGGAGCCCCTTGCTCGGCACCTGGTGGTTTGACTCTTGTGTTTTTCCTTGTGTCGTAGGTCTTTAAATACTCTGCACCAGTTTTGCTGTCCAGCTCCATTGTACCATTCCCAGCTAGCTGTCCCTGCCACACACTCAGAGTACAGGTAAGAGTAGCCACGCTCCACCCACCGCTGCTTCTTGGACAGAGGGCTGATGGTTTCACCTGAGAGACGAGGAATAGTCGCTTAAGCTTTAAAAGGAAAAAAAAAATTGGAATAAATATCCAGTATTTCTGTTGTTAGGGTAGGTGTGATAGAACCATCAGTGCAGGGAGTCCTTCTCTCAGGCACTCTGAGTGCCRTGTGCCGTAAGAGGCACAGCGCCCTGCACTTGCCCAGGTAGGGAGAAGGGAGGTGCAGGCTCAGCTCCCACATAACAAATACACTGAAATATTTATATCATTTATGGAGGATATCGATGTTGTTCTGAGYAACGCTTGTTTTGAGCCCCTGCCTATTCCATGCCAGTAGCTGAGGAATCCATGTGTTTAACCCTTGAAGGTTAAAGGCATGGACCTGCCCAGGGCTCAGTGCTACCTTGAGTGAAATGACGGGGTTTGAAACTCATCCAGGCCCTTGATGCCAAGCAGAGCCTCCCCTGAATAGAGCAAAAATATATGTGTGCCAGCTCATAATGCTTCTTTTAACATAGATGCCTTTACTATCTATGTGTTCTCTTTGATCCAGTGTGGARAGCAGCAGTTACATCCCATAGTACAACTCATTGTCAGTGCCAGTGTTTATTGTGACATCAGAAAAGCATCAAAGGGCAGCTAATCTGAGTCATTGGAAATGTGGAAACCCTTCAGAAATTGTGCATGCCATGGAAAATATTGCCTTTAATTTTTATCTCCGCTATTAGCGATCACCTTAGCAATAATTGCCAGCTCATGAATAATATTAATATCAAAATATTGGAAGCCTGGTGCCGAAAAAAAAAAAAAAAAACAAAATCACTTTGCACTGGTCATAAGGAAAGACAAAAGCGAACAACGAATCCTAAATCTGTAAATGCATAAACATATTTCTGGTTTGAATATTTTATCCCGTAGTTATCTCTGATCATGCATGCTTGGATTCACACTGTTGGTTTATGTTGTAACATCTGTTTGTGTGTTTGGTTTTTTTTTTCCTCCCATCAGAGCTCTCTGTTTCTTTGGTGGTGGTGAGTCCATAGTTGGGTTGTAAGGCAGCTCAATATTCCCTTGGTGAGGAGCAGGGTTTGGGTTATTGGATTCCCTGCTTGCCTTTTAGTGAGGCTTTTAGTTTTCCTCGGTCCTTAGTTGATAGTGCTTTAATTTTAAGGATCTTCCTGTTGGGATGTCGATGAGAAATCCAGCTGTTCCTTGAATCTCTGAATATTGTGCTCCACATGGGGCTTTATTTTTATCAGTAATATTTCTTCTGGAATTAAAGCTTAGAACAGCGTAACTTTGTGCTTGAAAAATCCTGAACTTCTCCAGCTTTTTTTTTTTTTTTTTTTTTTTTTTTTTTTTTTTTTTTTTTTTTTTTTTTTTTTTTTTTTTTTTTTGCCTTCCTGTCTTTGTGCAGAGAAATTTCGTTCTCTGGCTCTGTAAATTTTTGGAATTGCAGTAACTCTGTGCAGTTTTCAGAGTGAACAGGTGTGTGTTGTGGGACTTTCAGCTGGTGGGTCAGCACTGGGGGTGGGAAGGAGCTCATGGCTGGCCTGATCTGCTCCCAAGGATGTTCAGGCTCAGAGAAGACCTTCTGGATCTCCCTGACAGGAAATTTCTGCTCCAGGGAATGGGGATAGGACCAGGGGAAATGGCCCCAGGCTGTGCCAGGAGAGGGTCAGGTTGGACATYGGGGGAAATGCTTCACTGGAAGAGTCATCAAACCCTGGCACAGGGTGCCCAGAGAAGCTGTGGCTGCCCCTGGACYCCTGGCAGTGCCCAAGGCCAGGCTGGACAGSGTTTGGAGCACCCTGGGACAGTGGGAGGYRTCCCTGGTCAGGGCTTTAAGGTCCTCCCAGCCCAAACCATTCCAGGATTCTGTGAACAGAGAATACGGAGAAGGTACAACCATTCTCTGCCAGGGACAGGAGGCMACCAAAACAAATTGCAGTAAGGAAAGTTCCAGCTGGATACAAGGCAGGGAGAGGGGGATTTTCCCCCTGAGCATGGGCAAATGTTGGAACATTTGGAGGCCAGGAGAGGAAGGGAAGTCTCTGACATCCGCCACGCTCAGCTCAGCTGGACATCTGGCTGTGGCTGGCCCTGCCCTGAGCAGGGACTGCACYGTCCATTCCTCCACAAATCCCTCTGAACACAGATTATCCTTCATCCCACAGCACTCTGCTCTTGGAAAAATTAAAAAAGACCTGCAAGTTTGTTCTGTAGAATTTAATTTCAAATTACACAGTGACGTTCCTGCTGTCCCYSCAGTGTCCTGCTCACAGATGTGCASACAGGCTGTTACTGCTGTCCTTGGGGCAGGAATTGCTTTGGCTGCCCATAATTTCAATTTCTGAGGTTTTTCTACCCAAACTGCCATCCCTATGACTGCAATCTCTGAGTCAGGTGCAAATGATGCTCCTGTTTTTGTGCAGGACCTGTGCATGGGGATCCCACTGCTGTGAATGAAAATAAGCTGCTGGAGCCCCAACAGGATTGGGCTCTGCATTCCCACAGACACTTAATAGTATTAAATTTAGCTTTTAGCCTTCCCATTTATCAATTTATAAATAGAGATCTTTAGAAACAAAACTAACAGACGTGCATGCTTGGGTCTAGTTTCGGTTTTGAGGCTTTATTTAGAAATTACACAGAGGGATTAATTTTGTAKCCCAGAATTAAAAATTAAATTTGCTCTGAAAGAGGCAATTAATGAATGCACTACAGTGAAATCTGGAGCATCTCTGATTTGCTGTTAGCTAATTGCTGGATGTTTTATTCACTCCAGCAGTTTTATTTCTAGTCGAGACGATCTTTGGCATCTGTTTTGAATTGTTAATAGGGAAATAATGCATTTTTAATAACTGCAGCTATTGCAGTAATCCCTCACTCATTTTACAACGTTCAAAATAGGCAGAAATAACACAAGTTCTCATGCATTCTCCCATTCCAGGAGAAGCCTTGGAAAGCCTGAGCATGTAGTGCATTTCCAGCTCGATACTTGTCTGKGTTCCAGTTAGCCCATATGCCTCCCCTGCTTGCTCTTTTTGGGTTATTTCTGATTGGAAATCAAAAAATAGCCCAGAGAYGTCTGTGGCTTGGCTTCTCTGACTTCCTTCCCCTTCCTGCCTCCCGAGCAGAGCCTTACAAACAACGTGCTCTGGTTGGAAACCACAGGTTCCACGAGCTTGTTAGGGATCACTGGAATACATTTTATATTTTAGAGAAATACATTCATATGATGCAAAATGTTAATAATATTATTGTTATTGTTATTATTATAGTAATACTCTAATAGTAATAATCTAATAATCCACTAGATTTTATACCTGGTGCAAAGGGCAAAGTGAAGGGAACATGATGCACTCCAGAGAGGCTGCYCAAAGTAGAAATCTGTGTAGCCCTGCCCTTCAGGGGCTGAGCCTCTGGCTGGATCCAGCTGCAGCATCACCTCGGGGCCTCAGCTGCAACGGGAGCAGAGATAAAAAGGCATCCGGAGAGAGGGAGTTTAATCAGCTCTGTGTCTTGTCTGAGGAACAGCTTGTTCCCAGCGTTTTCCAAACACATTTCCTATGGCTTCAAACTAATAAAGAGTAGGTTTAGAATAGATAGTATGGAGGAATTGTTCCCTGGGAGGGTGCTGAGACCCTGGCACAGGGTGCCCAGAGCAGCTGTGGCTGCCCCTGGATCCCTGGCAGTGYCCAAGGCCAGGCTGGACATTGGGGCTGGAGCAGCCTGGGACAGTGGAAGGTCACCCTGCCCATGGCARRGGTGGCTCTGGACGGGCTTTGAGGTGCCTTCCAGTCTGGGATTCTGGGACAGACCTTCAGTCTGAACCTCASCCCATCTGTGTGGGCAGGAGGTGCCTCACCCACAGGGAAATGTCACAAAAGTTCCCATGCTGGTGATATCCAGCCCTGCCCATATCTGTATTCCCTCATGGACATGGAATGGACTGATACATGCAAACTCCAACTGTGGACACATCTGCTTACCACTGATGTCTGAGCAGCTTTCCATCTGATGTGTTTGTCCATAACTGTGATTTCCTTGTTCTGGTTTGCATGGAATGTTGGTTGTCACTCACCCCTGGCTCCATTCACCCTGCCGTCCATCCTTCTGATCTCAAATTAGATACCCTTATCATGTCCAAAGACCATTTTTAAAATCGTGAAGCTAGAGATTTTTCTTTTCTTTTTTTTTTCCCCAGTGAGACCTGTGAAAGCAAAATGATAATGCAAAGGATGTTATAGTACCAAAGAAATCCCATCATTTTCTTGCAGTCTCTGCCTGCTTAATGTTTAATCAGCACCTCTGGGAGGTAAAACCATCATTCTGAAAATACTGTACTTGTGTGAAATTTTAATGTGGAATCTTGGTTTCACCAGGTAATGTTGGCTTACATGCACCAAACCACAGTGTGGACGATGGTAGAAGGATTGGTTGGGCTGTTCGAGCCCCTGCCAGGCTCTGGAGCTGTCCTGCCACCATAACTGGTTCACACAGTCTCCCCTGGCCATGCTGCTGAGCTTTCAGATGCTTCTATCATGTGTTGGAGTGGTTTCGTTTCCCTGAACTCTCCTCAAGAGCACAGTGGGAATTTTTGCACACCAGGCACAGCCAGAGAAAAGTGAGAAAAGGTTTTGCCTATACTCCTAAAATGAGAAAGATACCCTTACAGATCAATGTACTTTGCAAYCCTCAGTTTGTTCATTTATTTTTCYCACTGCTGGGCACTGAACTTTTCCCTTAACACAAAAACTTCACGAGTCCTCCCTACAAACATCCCTGGGGACATCCCACACCGTGCAGCAGAATCCCTGCTCCTGGGGTAGCTCCCCAGGCRATGATCAGTCACACGTGAAGACGCATCTGAAGGAGCTGCACTTCAGAATCCTTTYTAGTGCTCATACGACCATTCATTGACATTTTCCACAAAAAAAAAACTTTGGATAGGAATCTAATTTCTAA